CTCTTTGGTTCTTTCGGTAAAGTCACGTGGTAGGTAGACAATAAATACCTACGTGGCTTGACCGAAAGAAACAAAGAGAATAGTTGAGACCCGGAGTACTGGGAGCTCACGCGGGGGACGCTGCTGCTGTGTTGCTGCGTGCAGCTATGCTGCACTGCTACATTGCTGCTGTGCTGCACTGCTACATTGCTGCTATGCTGCACTGTTACATTACTGCTATGCTGCACTGCTACATTGCTGCTATGCTGCACTGCTACATTGCTGCTATGCTGCACTGCTACATTGCTGCTATGCTGCACTGCTACATTGCTGCTATGCTCCACTGCTACATTTCTGCTATGCTGCACTGCTACATTACTGCTATGCTGCAATGCTACATTGCTGCTATGCTGCACTGCTACATTGCTGCTATGCTCCACTGCTACATTGCTGCTATGCTGCACTGCTACATTGCTGCTATGCTCCACTGCTACATTGCTGCTATGCTACACTGCTACATTGCTGCTATGCTGCACTGCTACATTTCTGCTAAGCTGCACTGCTACATTGCTGCTATGCTGCACTGCTACAATGCTGCTATGCTGCACTGCTACAGTGCTGCTATGCTGCACTGCAACATTGTTGCTATGTTGCACTGCTACATTGTTGCTATGCTGCACTGCTACATTGCTGCTATGCTGCACTGCTACAATGCTGCTATGCTGCACTGCTACATTGCTGCTAAGCTGCACTGCTACATTGCTGCTATGCTGCACTGCTACATTACTGCTATGCTCCACTGCTACATTGCTGCTATGCTGCACTGCTACGTTGCTGCTATGCTGTACTGCTACAGTGCTGCTATGCTGCACTGCGCGACATTGCGGTGGGCTTTGTGTTAATGACCCCCACGTCGACCTCAGCGACCTCCGGCTGACCGGCGCTGGAGTTGGATGTCGCCGCCGCCGCCGCCGCTCGGCACGCGGTAGCAGCAGAAGCAGTGGTGCGGTACGCTGCCCACGTAGCCGCGTGCGCGATATTGAAGGGACACGTTGTGCTGCGGTGGGGGGGGGGGGTCTGTGCGTGGCTTCATTGGGAGGGTCCTGGCTACATGTGTAAGGAGAGTTGGTGGGTGACAGAGAGCTCTCATTGTGCTCCTGTGAGAGCGATTGTTGTGCCTGCGTGTCAGTGTGTGTGTGTCTGTGCGTGTGTCTCTTCGCTGACGGGGAGCGGTGGCGTAGCGGTTAGCGCGCTGAGCTACAAACCCGGCGACCCGGGTTCGTTTCCCGCTCGCGGCCAACACCCGTGACGATTATTTGAACCGGTCCTGGACCTCCCCTAGGTCGACTCGGTCTTAAACGAGTCCCTGGTGCGGTGTGTGAACATCGCTAATCGAGAGACAAAGGCGGCCGGCCGTGGTGCTGGCCACCCCCCCCCCCCCCCTCGTTCACCGTGCCGGCCTTCATAGTTGCTCGCCAACGGCACTTGCCCCAACATTCTATTCAGGCTATACGGGGGGAGATGTTTGTCTTTGCAGGTCTCGTTCGCGGTTTGTCTCCTCCGATGAAGCGGCCCGTTTGGGATCGACGCTGCCGTCTCCGCATAAAAAAACAAAAACACAAAAACCCTGCCTCGATTACCGACCCCTCGACGGCATTGTCGGGTTGAGGGAGGGGGAAAGGGGAGGAGAATTACTGCAAACCCGAACAGGCCCATTCATCGCCGAAACAAACACGGGCACTGTCATGGGACCCACGCCCGTGTAGCCACATCGACGCCTTATCTCGACCACGCAACCGACACAAAGCCACGTGACTCTCACGCAGACTTCTGCGCAACAGCGTCGTCTCAACGTACGCGCACTCACACGCACCGTGATTCCGGAGCCGATGGACCGCGTGTGTGCGTGTGTGTGTGTGCGCGCACGTGCGCGTGTGTGTGTGTGTACGCGGGTGAGCTTCCCGCTTCTCCGCACTCAGAAGCCTCGCGTGTAACGCCGGTGTCTCACGCAACAAACGCAAGGACTTGTTCGACGATTCGCATCGCGAGACGTAATTTTTGTTTACCGACGGTTCCTGTGATTTTTGCCGACGATCGCCGCAATGCGCCCGCACCTCCGATTAGCACCGTTGGCTACATGCGGTGCGGAAGAAGTTCAACATACATCTCAGAGGCTGGGTCGTCATCGGATGGGGGCTACGCGGTGAGGGGGGGGGGGACGTCGGGGGACAGTGCGACAACATCCGTCGTTGTACTGCACTTCTGCGGTCTCACGGCTGCGCTCGCCGCCTTCGCCAAACCCACATCGCGCAACCGCCGATGAGACGCTGAGGTTTCTTGTTGTTGCTTGCGTTGAACAAATGCTGCGGAAATGATGCACTCCCAGAAGGAGTGCCGCGCCGCTGATGGGATGTGGAAAACATTACTCGTGTTCGTTATGATGGTGGAGGGATCGAGATCGGCGGTGAAGTATGGTAAAACAACCGCCCCACGACCTACACGGCATGGGGAGGCCGTCATCCAGCAGTGGATTGACAAGGGGGCCTTACAAAGAAAATATAAAGATCCCCCGTGGGCAAGGGCTGTTAGCGAGCACCTATGAAGGCCGGCACGGCACACGAGGGGGTGGGTTACCAGCACCACGCTCGGTGTTTAGCCTGAACACCGCACCAGGTACTAATGTGAGGCTGAGTCGACCTAGGGGAGGCCCAGGACCGGTTCAGATAATCGCCACTGGTGTTGTGCGTGAGCGGGAATCGAACCCGGGTCACCGGGTGAGAGTCACCGGGTTCGTAGCGCAGCGTGCAAACCGCTACACTACCACTCTCCACATTACACACACACGCACACACACGCACACACAACAACCGCCATTCGCCACTAAGTGGCGGTGACGTCATCACGACGCTTGTGCCAGGCCATGTGCACCTTGAGGCCAAGTGAAGTGTCAAACGCCCGCTGGCAGGAGGTCACGGGGCAGACCCAGGTGCCACGGGTCGACTGACTGAGATGACGCACACACAGGCATACAAAGACAAATATCCCCCATATAGCCTTAACAGACTGTAGGGGCAAGTGCTGTTAGCGAGCACCTATGAAGGCCGGAACGGTACACGAGGGGGTGGTTGGCCAGCACCACGCCCGACCGCCTTTGTCTCCCTAGTGACAATGTTTACACACCGCACCAGGTACTCATTTGAGGCTGAGTCGACCTAGGGGAGGCCCGGGACCGGTTCAGATAATCGTCACTGGTATTGGCCGTGAGCGGGAATCGAACCCGGGTCGCCAGGTTCATAGCGCAGCGCGCTAACCGCTACACTACTACTGCGGCCAAACCCATACACACACGCACACACACGCGCACACGCACGCGAGTGAGTGCCGTGTGACACACACGTCGCCGCACGTGCTCCGTCGTGGAGCGAGACACCCGAGTATTTTTCTCTCCCCGTGGCGCTTGTTGTTCGATGCCTTTCAGATTGAAAAACAAACCCCAAACACCTCCCCCCCCCTCCCCGTCCCACTTCATCACGGAGACGCTCGGAAGCAATCTCCCCCCCCCCCCCCGGCATCCGCTGCGCCGTCTTTACCTGATGAGTTCCGTGGGGGGCGGGGGGGGGTGCTTTCCCTCCTCCTCATCCGCGGCACCCCTTAATGGCTTTTCTCACCGGGGGCAGCTGCCGCCGTTTATAAACGCCGTAACCAAGGCGGGCGGCGAGACTCAGGGGGCTTTGCTTGTGGCCTCTTCGAGTTCGGGTTTGTCGGCGCGCGGGCAACGGGGGGAAGCGATTGGCGGGGGGGGGCGATGGGGCAGCGGGCGGCACGCGGTGAAAAGCCCTCCGCGCGCCGCATTCACACGCGCCTCCGTGGCGTCCGCGCCGCTCGTGGTCACAAGCAGGCCCCTTGTGCAGAGCGCCGAGAGGTCACGGGACGCCGGTCAGATGTGCGCGCGCGCGAGCGTGTGTGTGTGTGTGCGGTGTGTGTGTGTGCGCGCGAGCCTGTGTGTGTGTGCGGTGTGTGTGCGCGCGAGCGTGTGTGTGTGTGCGCGCGAGCGTGTGTGTGTGCGCGCGAGTGTGTATGTGCGCGCGAGCGTGCGTGTGTGCGCGCGAGCCTGTGTGTGTGTGTGCGGTGTGTGTGCGCGCGAGCGTGTGTGTGTGAGCGGTGTGTGTGCGCGCGAGCGTGTGTGTGTGCGGTGTGTGTGCGCGCGAGCGTGTGTGTGTGCGCGCGAGCGTGTATGTGCGCGCGAGCGTGCGTGTGTGCGGTGTGTGTGCGCGCGAGCGTGTGTGTGTGCGCGCGAGTGTGTATGTGCGCGCGAGCGTGCGTGTGTGCGCGCGAGCCTGTGTGTGTGCGGTGTGTGTGTGCGCGCGCGAGCGTGTGTGTGTGTGCGGTGTGTGTGCGCGCGAGTGTGTGTGTGTGTGAGGTGTGTGTGCACGCGAGCGTGTGTGTGTGTGCGGTGTGTGTGTGCGGTGTGTGTGTGTGCGGTGTGTGTGCGGTGTGTGTGTGCGGTGTGTGTGCGCGCGAGCCTGTGTGTGTGTGCGCGCGAGCGTGTGTGTGCGCGCGAGCGTGTGTATGTGTGCTACTGTAATGTTGCGGTTTACGCACCGCGCCTTTGCCGCTCACGACCAACTTACAGTGGCAAATATTTGAATCGGTCCTGGGCCTCCCCGAGACCGACTCAGCCTTAAATAAGCACCTGGTGCGATGTGTAGACAGCGGCACTGGGGATACAAAGGCGGCCTGGAGTGGTGCTGCCCACCCACCCCCTCGTGTGCCGTGCCGGCCTTCATAGGTGTTCGCTAACGGTCGGTTAACGCTATACGGGGGAAATATTTGTCTTTGGGGTGCGGTATTGTCGTGGTTAGCGCATCGCCGCTACGAACCCGGATTTCCATTCCCGCTCACGGCCAACATCGGCGACGATTACCCGAGCGTGTCCCGGGCCTCCCCTGCGTGGACTTGGCGGTAGTTCACTCATGCCCCCTCCCCCCCTCCCTCCTTTTCTATCCTCTCATTCCTGGCAGCAGCAGGAAAACCAGGAAGCCATGCCGGCGTGCCAGCGACCTGCGGCCAGCGCCTAAGTGCGGTGGCGGCGGAGGCTGCGTCGCGGCCGGAGCGGCCTTCCTGGTCCGGCACAAGTCCTGCCGAGACGTCCTACTGAGGGGCCTCGGCTCCGCGGCCAGCGGGGCCATGTCGGCGGTGCAGGCCGCGAAGGCCGACGCGGCCGCCTGCAAGGCGGCCTCCATCGACGAGCTGCTCCACACCTGCATCGGCGCGTTCGGTGAGCGGCGGCGGCGGCGGCGGCGTCGTCGCGCGTGATGATGTTTGTTGGGGGGAGGGGGGGGGGGTTCGGACGCGCGTTGGTGACCTGGACAAATCCGCGTCGTTGGGACTCTGCGGATCTCATTCTGACTCGCTGGATTGTCCTGGAGGTGCCTAGGGCGGCAATGTCAGGCGAAAGGTCGCCGATCGAAGTGCGGCCAGGTTTGGTTGAGTTGGTCGTTCTTCGACCCGCGGCGAGCCGATACAATCACACTCGGCGCGTTCCGGGCTTGCGCACGTGACACATTGAACATTTTGTTTGGCTGTGTCGAGTGGTGTAGGGGTCTTAGCGACACACATTTGACCAGATCATTTTGCGGCCAAACCCAAGTATCGATTGTGAATCGCAATGGTTACAATTTTGTGAGCTCTAAGTCGAAGTGGATGAACGTGGCAGTGCTGCTCCAATGCTTTTGTATCATTGTTTTCGTCTTCATCATCATCATCATCAATATCATCATCGCCATCATCATCATTCACCTCTTCTAGTGGCACTTTGCTCAACAGCAATCCGTCCAGCTCTGCTGGGTTTCATATCCATCGCGCAGTGTGGTTTAGTCATGATGGTGGTGATGGTGGTGGCGAGTTCTCCAGTAACATTTTGGTGGGTGGAGTGGTGGTGCTGTGGTTCGTGCACCGCTCTACGAACCCACCCACCCACCCACCTTCACAGTCCCAGGTTCACGCCAAAGGGAAACCCAGCAGCGTAGCCATCGAGGACGTAGGTGGTGCAGCTGCACCGATGCCCGTGGGCCAGAGGGGACCCAGGCTACAAAGAGTGGGGGGGGGGGGGGGGTGGTGGGGGTGGGGGGATAGTGCCCCCTCTCCTCCAGGGGCCCGTGCCAGCGTCGCTGCTCGCGTCGCTGCGGCGGCGGCCGCGGAGAGCGAGCGGCTCGGGACGCACGCTGAGCGGCGTTGCGGCCATGTGACGCGGCATGTGATGGGAGTGCAGCTGATCCCTCGCGTGTACAGCAGAGGCCCCTCCTCCCATTATCCGCCCCCCACACACCCCCTCCTCTGTCCCTCCTCATGCCTGGAGGCTTTCACTTTTTCCCCCCTGTGGGCTGTCCGCAGAGAGGGTGCAGCACCCAGTGACTCGCTGAGAGAGGAGGCCGTGCACCAGTAACCACAGAGTCACCCAGAGAGAGAGAGAGAGGGCAGCAGCAGCAGCAGCCACTGGCTCGCATGTACCGGGCTGCACTTGGTGGCACGCAAACACACGCAGAGGGCAGCAGCTGGCGACTCGTAGAGGGGGCGACACGCAGCGCCTCACGCGCAGAGGGGGCAGCACCAACATGGAGGGCAGTAGCAACAGCCACTAGCGAACTTGGCTTCTGCTCGCGCCCCGTTGCGCCTCTTTGTTCGATGCGTTCGTTGCCCACAGCGACGGAGTCGGGTACATTGGGGGGGGGGGGGGGGGGGGGGTCGCGTTTTGCTGTAATTTCGTTAAATATCCCCCCCAGCCTGGAGCGCGTGAGACGATGTTTCGCGTGGGCTTTGTGCCAACTTTTGAGTAATTTTGTTTCACGATGCCCTCACACCCACGGTGCCCTCACACCCACGGTGCCCTCACATCCACGGTGCCCTCACACCCACGGTGCCCTCACACCCACGGTGCCCTCACACCCACGGTGCCCTCACACCCACGGTGCCCTCACAACCACGGTTCCCTCACAACCACGGTGCCCTCACTTCCACGGTGCCCTCACACCCACGGTGCCCTCACACCCACGGTGCCCTCACACCCACGGTGCCCTCACACCCACGGTACCCTCACACCCACGGTGCCCTCACATCCACGGTGCCCTCACACCCACGGTACCCTCACACCCACGGTGCCCTCACATCCACGGTGCCCTCACAACCACGGTACCCTCACACCCACGGTACCCTCACATCCACGGTGCCCTCACATCCACGGTGCCCTCACTTCTACTGTGCCCTCAGACCCACGGTGCCCTCACATCCACGGTGCCCTCACACCCACGGTGCCCTCACATCCACGGTGCCCTCACACCCACGGTGCCCTCACACCCACGGTGCCCTCACACCCACGGTGCCCGCACATCCACGGTGCCCTCAGACCCACGGTGCCCTCACATCCACGGATTGTTTCAACGCTCTCGATGAGGTCGTTCGGCTCGGAGCGAGTGAACGAGCGAGGGGCCGAGTCCCGAGTTGGCGCCGACCCTCTCCGCCCGTGCCACCTCCGCGTGCGCCGGTTTACGAGGCGCTCTTCAGCGTCTCGTTTGGAACTCTGCAGGAGGACGGTCCCTTTTTTTTGTTCCTATCGGCTAAATCTCCCGAGCACGAAATGACAATGCCGTTTCGTTTAAACGAAACGAACGGCGGCGACGGTCGTTCGCTTTTGGCCTTCGAACGTGCAAACGGAAACGGATCCCATCGATCCCGGCTTCGAGTTTCCGACAGGGCGCCCTCAATTAGGCCGACGTCTCCTTTCTCGTGGGAGCATTTAAAAAAAAAACATTTTTACCCAGGCGTTGTTGTCACCGTTCAACGCCGTGTGTTCGAACGTGTTATCTCGTGTCTGCCACGCATTTTTATGCCAACCGCTCGGCGTCTTGGGTCTTTGGTGCCTGTTGCTCAGCCTCGATGCAAATGCAATGTGTGGGCCTTCGCTGGGACACGTCGCTGCAAGGGGGCGAGAGTATCGGCAACAGTGGCAGCTCGCCCAAGGACAGGCCACCGTGGAGATGGAGCAACAGGAATCGGATCGCGCGCAAGCGCTCGGTGGATTGTTACGATTGTCGGTGGCCCAGGTCGCTCTTGCCAATGACTCCTCTCTCCTGGTCTCCCGAGTTCTCGCCTCGTTCGACAAAATCAACGTGGACCTTGAAACGTCGCGGGGGTTTGCCGACAGCTTGGGGAAGCCCTTCATCCAGCAGCGTATTGATCATGGCCGCGACGACGACGATGCTGATGACGACGATAAGGACGACGCTTTTGCGTTGAGCTTTTTTTTGTTTGTTTAAAGCTTTTAAAACAAAACACTGGCCGTGGGGGAAGTCCCTGGCGCGGGGCCACCACACGTGTGCCGCTCGTCGCACCATCAGATCGCGGCCACACTGCCGCCACCGCCGCCTCCACCTCCACCACCGGCCGGCCGGCGTCTATTTGTGGCGCTCGCCAGTGGCCTTGGTTCCGCAGGAAGCGGCCGCAGCTGTGCAGCGACGCACCGCGCGCGTGCGCGTGCGCGCGTGCGTGCGCGTGCGTGCGCGTGCGCGTGCGTGCGTGCGTGTGCGCCCGCTCGTGCGTGTGTGTGTCATCTCAGTCGCCTGACCCGTAACACCTGGGCCTGTTCGTTGACCTCTTGTCACGTCACGTGACATCACCGTCGCTTGCTGGTTTCAGTTTCAGTTTCATTTATTTGGCATAGCCCTGTGAGCCATTCGGCTCTTGAATCGGGTGCAACCGCAACAAACAAAAAAACTAAAACATGAACAAGAAAAACATCTTATGGCCGCTGCTATTGTTGTTGTTGTTGTGTGTGTGTGAGTGTGGGTGCGTTTTTGAGTGTGCGGGCAGCGGTGGTGTCGTGCTCAGCGCACCGTGCTTCGAACCCGGAGGGGCCGAGTTCGATTCCCGGTCATGGCCAACATATTCGAACTGGCCCTGGGCCTCAACCCAAGGTTGACTCAACCTTAAATAAGTATCTGGTGCATTGTGTAAACATCAGCACTGGGTGGCCAGGTGTGGTGCAAGTCACCCACCCCCTCATGTGCTATGCCGGCCATAAAAGGTGCTCGCTAACAGCATTCATCCCAACAGCCTGTTAAGGTTGTGGTTTGCACACACTGCGCAACGAACCCAGCCACAATTGACATCAGTGGCGAATATCTGAACCTGTTCTGGGCCTCCCCTAGGTCGACTCAGTCGAATACCTGGTACTGTACGAAAACATCAGCAGTGTGAAGGCAAAGGTGGCCGGGCCAGCACGGCCTGGCGTGGCCGTGCCGTCCTTGATAGGCGCTCACTAACACCACGTGCCCCAGCAACATGTGTAGGCTATATGAGGAATCCGGGCGAGCGTGTGTGTGTGTGTGTGCATGCGCGTGTGTGTGTGTTCGTATCGATGTGCGGCTTTGTGCCCAGACCCTGCCGCCGCGGCACGCGGAGGGCTTCTGAGCGGCGCCGGGCTGCAGATTCCCGCGGCACCTCGGTGGAGGTGGGGGGGGGAGTCCTCTATTCCACGCTCTCCACTTTCATCCGTCCCCCAGGAAGGCGCCGTGTAAATTAACGGGCCGAGACGCTGGCGTCGGTGGCGTCTTCTGGCCCTTCTTGTCAGCGAGGTGTCCTCCTCGTCACTGGCGCCAATGACTCGCCTCGCCGGCGCCCCCCGGGGGGGGGGGAGGGCTACACCGCACGTGCCCTGTAACCCAGCACTGTGTGGAGGCAGCGAGGGTTGTTCACTTCGTGGTCCTTCCCCCCCCCCCCCCCAACGCACCTCCGATTAACACGGTTGGCTACGTACGGTGCGAACAAAGTTCAACGTGCATCACCACACATTCGTGGAACTCCCTCCCCTGCCCGTGGGCGTCGATGTCGCAATCTCCTCGGTTTGTCAGGGTGCGATGGCAGGAGAGCAAATGGGTTCATTTCCATCTGCGTGGTGACATTGAGTGTCATCCCCCTTTCCTTGCATGCGCGGGTTTTCTTTTCTCCGGGCACTCCGGTTTCGTCCCACTTGAGCAGAACACTCACCAGTGGAGTTGGCCAAAGATTCCAATGCAGGCCCACAGAGCGTCGGCAATTGTTGGTCCGGTTCTGGCTGGTTTTCCACACATTTGAATCATTTTCTCTCTCGCTCTCTCTGAGAGTTCGCGAATGTATCTGGAGAGTGGTGTTCGTAATCGGGTGTCTATCCACCTGACATGACTTAGAACACAAACACGACAGGAAAGGGCGCAAAGAAGCGTGGAGAGGTTCAGGCTGGCACTCCCACCGAGCGGCAGAAAGAGGAACGCGTGGATGAGAGAACGCGTGCAAGACGTTCGAGACATCTTGGGCTTGGGCCAGGACGCGTCACCGCTGGAAGTGACGGTGGCCGGTGGTCGAGACTAAAGGAGAAGTGGCAGTTCAAGGAGGAAAAACGGGCATCTCCGTGGAATGATGCCATGCAGGACCGTGACAGATGGCAACAGATTGGGGAGACCTTCGTCCAGCAGTGGATAGAACATGGCCGATTACGAGGTGTCCTGGGGTAACTGCTGGCTTCCCACGAGCCACAGAGATGTTTCTTAGGAAGTTACTGGAGCTTTGCGCTTTTAAATCTAGAAAAACGAATTTCCTTCGAACTGCTTTTTGCGTCTTAGTTTGTTGTGCTTCTGATTAGCGCGTTTGGCCACGTACGGCGCGAAATAAGTTAAACACACACACATGACATTCGTGTGTGGGTGCCACCTTTAACAATGCAATGCTTCAAAGTGGTCAGGTGGGTTAGTGGCCGCAGCTACCCGCAATGCACGTGGTTGTGAATTCCAGCTCTTGAGAAGTAAAACGCTATCGGCCTTGACTGTCCTGTCGCGCCAAGGAACATTTGCGCTCTCTGTGTAAGACAGGGCGGCCTGTTTTCGAAAGTAGCTCAGCGACATCCGCTTCCGCGGGCCGTTCCCCAACTTTAGAGTGTCGTGCTCCTGCTGCAGCCGCGAGAGGTCCGGGCGGAAGTCTCGCCGATCGCACGATTGGGTCTAAAATTAGTCAAAAGGACAAACACTATTTAGAAAACGACACCGCCTGGCTTAATAGGTGGGGGGGGGGGGGAACCATAAAATAAATCCCAGCCATCAACAACGGCACAAAAACAACAACAACACGCAGGACGGAAAAACACTAGAACGCAAGAACGTCGCCCACGGGCCGTCCTTATCGCGCGATTTAGCGCAACGCTGCCCGATTATTCCGTCCCACGAATCTATTCCGAGACGCGCGTGCCCACCCGCCCAGGACTCAAGCACAGGGCGGCCGTGCCGACACCCGGCAACGAAGCGGTCGAGTGACGAGCGCGGCCACGCAGAGTGCCGTTTCAGCGCCCATTGTGATGAGTCCCGCCGAACCCTGCGTGGTGGGCGGGGGAGGGGGGCAGGGCAGGGGGGGCCGGTGGTGGCATCGGTTGCTCGTGGGTATCGCGCCTCTCCGTCGCGCGCGCCGTGCGTCATTAGCCGCGGCCCTTCTTGTACGCCGCTCTCTTCCACACACAGGGAGAGAGAGAGGGAGGAGAGGGAGGAGAGAGAAACAAACCCTTGATTTACACCGCGAGCTCTCGCGTTGGCGTCCAGCGTCGCTAATTAACGTCCTCGCGAAGGTCACGTTTCAAGACGGTCGGGGGTTTATTAATAGACGGATTATTTTCGTCACTGGAGTGGTGTGTGTTTTTTTTGCCGTCTTTTCTTTTCGTAGCCGAGTTTATCCCAAGCGTGCCACTGGCGACGTCGTTGCTGTGAGGGCGGAGTATCCGTTTGGATAGCTCGCAGGGCAGTGCCATCCACTTCGTGTGAGAGGGCGGTCCGTGGAAGCGGACGTAGCAGAGCTACCTCTGAGAATTGAGCCAAGGTGCACACACAGTAGTGGATAGTACTTTCCCACCCGTCATGCCACATGAGAGTAATGTTCTTGATGTAACAATCAAACGTTGATTATAATTATCAGAGATGAGATGTTGCCATACATACCAATGTTAATGCGATGGGATTTTTGTTGTGTGTGAGACGACCATCAACTTACTACACTTGACAACAGGGTTTATTCACAACTAAGTGTATGCGAATTCTGTGGGTCTCTAGGCACGTGTGTGGGTCTCTTAAGTGACTATTTGTGTCTCTGTACATAGCAGGCTGAATCCTCAGCGCTGCCAGCTCAGCGCAGCTGAGACGTCTGCGCTACCCAGCCATCTCCAATAGAAGAGGAATCCTTAACAATAATACTTTATTGTAACATTTGTCGGGGAGAGCCACACTCAGTCGAATGACTCTTTTTTTCAGGAGGGTCCTGCTGTTGCTACATTGGGTTTTTTACATCAAAATCTTTTTTTTTCTGCCAATTAATGACGAGTCGTGTTTATTACACGGCACGCGGGAGGAGGAAACCGGAGCGCCCGGAGAAAACCGACGCCTTGCGCGAGGGGGCAACGCTCAATCCTCGTACAGATGGACACAGCTGGCGATCAGTCCACTTGCTGTGCCGCCTTCTTCTGGCGAGCCAGGAGTACATCTCCTCCACGACGCCCACGCTTTAGAACATCTGCTCGGTGGTCCACCAACCCTCGCTGCCTCGACAGCGCTGGATTTGCGGGTCTTTAAAACTAAAAAAAAGCGATCGTTCGAAATGCAGGTGGCCAATCAAATTGTGTAACTGGAGACCCCGTGGCCCTTGACTCGATCCCTGACGGGAGCAGGCGGTGCTCGCTCGGCACCGTCGTTGTGCCGCCCGGCTCTGCCCAGGTGGTGCTGCCCCCCTCCCCAGCTCCCCCCGCCCCCCCCCCCCCCCCCCCCACCTCGTGATGAGAGAGAGAGAGCGCCGCTACGCTCGGCCGCCCACTTGCGCCACCCGCACTGTACGCGAGTTTGACAGCAGCCCTGACAGAGGAACTCTGCCTCTTCCTTCCTCTTCCCTTCCCCCATAACCCTTCTCTCCTCTCCACCCCCCTCGTGCCCCCCCTCCCCATTCCCTTTACCCCCCCCCCCCAGACGAAGCGGGCGAGCCCACAGGAGACAGCCCCGTGCCACGGATGCTGCTGCTCATGCATCGCTGGTTCATCTCGTCGGCCGACCTGGCATGCAAGCTGCTCGAGCAATATCCTCCTCTACGCGTGCCCACCCCCCCCCCCCATCCTTATCCCCCCCCCCCCTCCCACCGTCCCTCGCTCTCACCCGGCACCACCGGGGCGGACGGTGCCGCCACGCAACGGACCGGCATCGCTCGACAATGTTGGCTTTGTTGGGGGGACGTGGGGGCGATGGTGGAGGAGCTGTCGGCGATGTTGTTAAATGTGGCTCACGGGAGCTCCCGCCTGTGACCAAATTGCCCGCAAATGTGGCTCTGAGAGCGTGCGGTGTTTCACGAGTGCACCTCCGATTTAGCACGCTCGGCTACGCGCGGTGCCAAAGAAGTTCGACATACAACACGCCAGATACGCACGTGACCGCACGCGAGGTGGCTTTGGCCCGCGCCGTGACAGCGGACGGTGGTGGCGGAGGTGGTGGCGGCACGGTTTCACGCGGATGAAACTTTCGAGCGCGAGGTCTGCCAGGTCACTGGCTACGTCAATCCCTTTGCTGGAACAAAGCGACCCGAATCGCTCCCCCCCCCCCACCGCACGCCCGTCGTCGTAGCGGCCTTGGATGGCGCCCAACCTCATGAATCTCACGGAGGCTAAGCAAAGGTAGTGCCCAGATAGTCCTCGTGTAGCCGGCCACCTCCATGGGGCGTCACGGTGGATCCACTTGGGATCATCTGTGGGCATGGCAGTCTCTGCCGTACTTCTATGTGCCCGCGTGTCGGTTCTCCCGGCGTGGCGAGGCTTGGCACGTCAACGTCCAGGACCGACCGCCCCCCCCCCCCCCCCCCCCGCCGGCGTGGTGGGGAGGCGAGGCCCCCGTCCAGCAGTGGATTGAACATGACCACCCGCCGGGCCTTCGCCCACGCAGCGGCCGGCACATGGCGCCCGCAGATGTTCACGGCTTTGACGGAATTAGAAAATGAGGATGCGGCCAAACTCAGCAGCATCCTCTTTATTGCAGAAACAAAATATTATTTTGGTTTCTTTTTCCCCCCCATTCTGTGAATATAAAAGAGAAAAACAAGACTCACCCGAGTAGCCCCCCCCCCCCTCCCCCACCTCCCCCCCCCCCCCCCTCCGGTCCCTCCCACAAAGAGCCACGCTCGCTGTGACACACAAGCAAGCTATCTGCCACCAGTGCCCGCCACAGATAATTGGCGTGCTTATCTCTCGAGGAGGAAACATATTGGGTGGCCCGAAGGAAAACACAAAGCGTCTGGGGTCCGGAGCGATGGGGAGCGTGAGCGCGGGTGATTGGACGTTTAACGAGCGTGCCGACGCCACCTCCTCCTCCTCCTCCTGCTGCTCCTGCTGCTCCTGCTGCTGTGGCTTTTGTGCGATGTTAATAATTCGTCGCTGCCAAGACCTGCCCCCCCCCCCATCCCCTATTCCCACCCGGCTCACCTCCCCCCCCCCGTTCATCCCCGCCCCCCCCCCCCCCAAATTTTGTGCCCTCGAAGCCCCGTCTCGTTTGCGTGACCCGCCAAAGTTTTTTTTTATAATCTCTTGCTATATTGTCCACCAGTTGTATGTGACGTGACCGACGTGAAACTCGCACGACTTTAAGAAGGACAACTTGGGGGAATTGAATTTTGACGCTGAGTATCGATTCACGTGGGCCGATGATTCGTTTTAGCGTTCCCGAAAAACTAATTTCTTTAGAACTGCTTTTTGTGTGTTTTTAGTTTGTCCTTTCCTCCGCACCTTCGATTAGCACGATTGGCTATGTACGGTGTGAAAGAAGTTCAACATACATACATACTGCCCTGCTTTTTTGTAAAATAATTTAACATTTTCTCTAAATTATATTTCAAATTGTGCCGTCATACATAGAACAAAGACACTTCGATTTGGAACTCGGCAACTATAGCGGTGCATCACCCCGTGTCGGAGAACGTCCCCCAGAAAATAACGTCACGGAACTTCTTCCGAGCTCGCTTCAATTGGCCTCTCCGGCCACGCTCGACGCACTTCTTATGGCCCTGTAACCGGCGTGGGGTCTCAGAGGTGGAAAATTTGACCAAATTAAGTGCTAAACCAAATTTTAATGCGATGGGCGATTTCTTTTTCGCCCAGTCATCGGAGACCATCACCCCAACGCACTCGAGCACCTGGTCGAGTCCACGTCTGTTGCCGTGGATTTGAATCTAGGATCGTCGGCGTGAGCCTAAAAAAACAAACGTAAAACCAGGCCCTGCGCCGGGCTCCTCCAGCCCGCACCGTTTGCCGAGTTGCTCGTCGGAGTTATGAATTCGTCACCCGCTCTCGTCCCAATGCAGCCCAGCGTGCAACGCGGATGTGCCACGCCGAGCGGCGGTCCCACGCCCTCTTGGCACACACCGACAATTTAACTCTCCCCCTCGAGCTGACTGTGTCTTTGTCTCTTGCGTTCGCCGCTTAAAGAAGTGTGAAAATGTTTGTTATCGGGCGCCCGTACGGTGAGCCGGGTCCCATCACGGATGCACCACCGCGCTCGCCACACTCCGCTGGCTCTTTGGGATAACAGCGCCGTTTCAAGCCTGTTGCGAAACTGGCTCAGACTTGGCATTTTAAACATTTCGTCCAGAATTTCAGAACACGGCTCTCCTCATTCCTCGTGTTCGAGGAGCGTTCCATATTTTTATTTGTAACAAAAAAAAGTTAAATCTTTTCTGACGATGCGGATGGGGAGCGCGTTTCTCGCGGCCGCGGTGGATTTTCCTCCGCGAAACTTCGATGGCCCTTGACTCGGAGGGCCCCACGTATAAGGAGGCGACGGGGCTCGAGGGAAGCCGGACGCGCCTGCGCATCTGCCGCTTCGTGAGGTGAGCGGCACGGCCGAGGGCATCGGCCGCGCGAGCGCCGCTGTTGTTGCGGCGAGCGTGGCGTTCGCTTCATTGGCGCGACCGGTGACGTTCGTTGTTGAATTTTATTTCGGCCGGCAGTGATTGTGAGTGGACAAAAAGCCACGGAGCGTGACGATGACGGTCACCGCTGCTACCAGAGGCGAAAGCGTAACCGACCGTGATGAGATGGATTAACGAAGGACTGAGATAATTTAGTAACGCTATCGGGGATTTCGGTGCACTGCGGAAGGCCAAACATGGAGAGACACGCGCCACAGTGGTAGCGTGATTGTGGCCATGCAACCAAAACTGTGGACGTGGTTGCACTGTACTTCTGTGCTCCCTGCCCGCCTTCACCAACCCGCGGCGATCAGCGTGGTGAAACAAAACCAAACAACCCCCACTGACGGCGACAGCGCATTGAGGCCCTCATCCAGCAGTGGATTGACTCAAGGGGGCGGTAGATGACACGAGGCCGACCAGGCCAGACCTGGGGCTAGCGTGGGAGCAGACTCCCGCATGAGAATGACGGGCCCTCTTTTCATGAGATTGAATAAATGAATGAATGAACCCATGAGTGAATGAACTATTGATTGACCGGGCGGCAGGTTCTGGATCGAGGAGTTCCCGGCCGTGTTTAATCTGGACGCTGGGCTTGCGCGACTCATGGAGGAGTTCAAGGAGCTGGCCTGCACGCTGGGCCAGGAGGACCACTGCAGCCTCGTCGACATCTCCGCCATGTAGGGCTCGTCGCACCGCTCGCCGCACCGCTCACCCCACCGCTCACCACACCACTCTCAGCACCGCTCACCCCACCGCTCACCACACCACTCTCAGCACCGCTCACCCCACCGTTCACCGCACCGCTCACCACACCACTCTCAGCACCACTCTCAGCACCGCTCACCCCACCGCTCACCACACCACTCTCAGCACCGCTCACCCCACCGCTCACCACACCACTCTCAGCACCGCTCACCCCACCGTTCACCACACCGCTCACCACACCACTCTCAGCACCGCTCACCCCACCGTTCACCGCACCGCTCACCACACCACTCTCAGCACCGCTCACCCCACCGTTCACCACACCGCTCACCACACCACTCTCAGCACCACTCTCAGCACCGCTCACCCCACCGCTCACCACACCACTCTCAGCACCGCTCACCCCACCGTTCACCGCACCGCTCACCCCACCGTTCACCGCACCGCTCACCCCACCGTTCACCGCACCGCTGCTCAACAAAGATTTCCAGAATGGACTATGATGGCGCGACGCCAATCCCACTATCGGGATGACATGGGGGGGGGGGGTGGTGGGGGGGGGGGGAAGATTAAATAAATTAGGAGAAAGAAGAACAGAGTCAGACATGCACCTGAGAGTTACACGTGTGTTTTTATATTTTTAAAATCAGCACTCCTTTATCGGGCGACTGAACTTGCGCTCAGCCCATCACCCCTCCCTCCGCGTGCAATAAAACGAGCACCACTTTGTCGTGAAAGTCAACAGCGGTCGCTCGATGGACACTGTCGAGCCCCGGCCATAAGAATGTGGAATTTCCACCACCGGCTCTGCGTCGCCGTGAACAGGAGATGAGCACCGATGCCTCGACGCTCATTTGAACCGCCGCGGATCGCTCTGGCCTCGAGCGGAACTCGTGCGTGCACGCGTCCCAAGGCACCGCGCCGACCCTTGACCCTTACCCTTCCCCCTCCCCCACCACGTGCCCGTTGGCGCAGCCCGTCGTATGAGTGGATGCGCCGCGTGACGCAGCGCAGCAAGCTCTGCAAGAGCAAGCGCAAGGTGTCGCTGCTCTTCGACCACCTGGAGCCGGCGGAGCTGGCGGAGCACCTCACCTACCTGGAGTTCAAGGCCTTCCGCCGCATCTCCGTGAGTCCTGCTCGCGGCCGATGCCCCCCCCCCGTCCACCTTTCGCCCCACCGGGAGTCCACACCGCCGGCTCACCGCACGGCCGTGGTGGCTACGCACGCCTCTGATCCAGCGCCGCGCAGCCGACGCTCGGTGGATCATCGAACAAATGAGAAGCGGAACCTTCCCGTGGGTGGGTCGTTCAGGATGAGCCGTACCCCGGCTGGCCAGAGTGGCTTCAAGATGTGGGCTCCCACCTGTTCCGACTGTACGGGATCGAGCGTTTCCCCCTCGAACACGCGCGTGGGTTTGGTTTTCTCCGGGCGCTCGGGGTTTCGCCCCACGTGTCGCCGCCCGCTAATTGGCCGATATAACACCTCCACGCGTCGAGGATCGCGGAGCTTTGGGCAACTGTTGGCGTCCGCTCATTGTGTGGTGGTTGCCTTACCGTTTGTCTGTGGTTCCTCGCGCCTTTTGAGTCGTTCTCTTTGCCTACGAGCGTGAACACATTTCAGGTTGAAATCACGATTATGGTCCACAGCTAGGACCGCCAATCGTCCTGGTTTGGCCGGATCAGTCCCGGCGATTTCAGATGCTCCCCCCGCCCCGCCCCCCCCTGCCCCGCCCAGCCACCACTCAAACCCATGAAGCATTTGCTAAATATTTGGAATTTTTGTTTTTTTTATTTGATTACTGAGCGCAGGTCAGCAACAAACAGCACTATCAAGGTTGTAATAGTTAAGAGTTGACCCCCTTCTTTAACTGAGCAAGGTTATTATTATTAGTGTGATGAGAGCTTGGGGAAATATAGACATTGGTTGGGAATTCCCAAGTAGAGGAGTGCCAGCTAAGAAGCAGCGATTTTAAGTGTTGTGACCTGCAGTGCGGTGATTCTGTGGGTGAGTGATTGAGTGCGTGGGTGAGTGATTGAGTGTGTGGGTGAGTGATTGAGTGCGTGGGTGAGTGATTGAGTGCGTGGGTGAGTGATTGAGTGCGTGGGTGAGTGATTGAGTGCGTGGGTGAGTGATTGAGTGTGTGGGTGAGTGATTGAGTGCGTGGGTGAGTGATTGAGTGCGTGGGTGAGCGAATGAGTGCGTGGGTGAGTGATTGAGTGTGTGGGTGAGTGATTGAGTGTGTGGGTGAGTGATTGAGTGTGTGGATGACTGATTGAGTGGGTGAATGATTGAGTGTGTGGGCGAGTGAGTGGATGAGTCAGTGGGTGAGTGTTTGAGTGGGTGAGTGGGTAGGTGAGTAAGTGGGTGAGTAAGGGGGTGAGTATATGAGTGAGTAGGTGAGCGAGAGGGTAAGTGAGTGGGTGAGTATGAGTGGGTAGGTGAGTGTATGAGTGGGTGAGTGAGTGTATGAGTGTATGAGTGGGTGAGTGAGTGGATGAGTGTATGAGTGGGTAGGTGAGCGAGAGGGTGAGTGTATGAGTAGCTAGGTGAGTGTATGAGTGGGTGAGTGAGTGGGTAGGTGAGTCAATGGCTGAGTGTATAAGTGGGTAGCTGAGTGAGTTAGCTGTTGTGACCTGCAGTGTAGTTGACATGAGAGAGTCTCAACAAGGCTTTGTTGTCACCCGGTCAAAAATGTTCTGGCCTCGTGCTCAAGCCATGGTCCCGGGCCCAAGGCAGGGCAACCTGAGAAATAGCTGCGACCAATCGCGGATCAAGGCCACTCGCCGTGGGCGGTGCTATTGACTGAGTGGGTGTGGCCATGTAAAAGTGGGAGGGGCTTGCCGGATTTGCCGTGCGTCCCGGTTGAGCCCTCCGAGAAATTTGGTTGCTCCATTCGAACCTCGCCCCCCCGCTGACTGAACCCGTAGCTCGGAGCGCGGCCTAAATAAACCTCCGCCGGACAGGGCACCCGCGAAGCTCCCAATCACTCACGGTGGCCGGGGTTCACCTACCCACTCATACACTCACTCATCCACTCATACTCTCACCTACCCACTCATACACTCACCCACTCACTCACCCTCTCGCTCACCTACTCATTCATACACTCTCTCATCCACTCATACACTCACCTACCCACTCATACACTCACTCACCCACTCGCTCACCTACCCACTCATACACTCACTCACCCACTCATACACTCACTCACCCACTCATACACTCAGTCACTCATACACTCACTCACCCTCTCGCTCACCTACCCACTCATACACTCACCTTCTCGCTCACCTACCCACTCATACACTCACTCACCCACTCATACACTCAGCCACTCACTCACTTACCCACTCAAACACTCACCCACTCACTCCCCCTCTCGCTCACCTACTCATTCATACACTCACTCACCTACTCATACACTCACCCACTCACTCATACACTCACCCACTCACTCACCTTCTCGCTCACCTAACCACTCATACACTCACTCATCACTCATACACTCACCCACTCACTCGCTCACCTACCCACTCATACACTCACCCACTCACTCACCCTCTCGCTCACCTACCCACTCATACACTCACCTATCTACTCATAAACTCACATACTCACTCACCCTCTCGCTCACCTACCCATTCATACACTCACTCACCCACTCATACACTCACCTACCCACTCATACACTCACACTCACTCACCCTCTCGCTCACCTACCCACTCATACACTCAGCCACTCACTCACCATCCCACTCATACACTCACTCACCCACTCATACACTCACCTACCCACTCATACACTCACCCACTCACTCACCCTCTCGCTCACCTACCCGTTCATACACTCACTCATACACTCATACACTCACCTACCCACTCATACACTCACCCACTCACTCACCCTCTCGCTCACCTACCCATTCATACACTCACTCACCCACTCATACACTCACTCACCCACTCATACACTCACTCACCCACTCGCTCACCTACCCACTCATACACTCACTCACCCACTCATACACTTACTCACCCACTCGCTCACCTACCCACTCATACACTCACCCACTCACTCACCCTCTCGCTCACCTACCCACTCATACACTTACCCACTCACTCACCCTCTCGCTCACCTACCCATTCATACACTCACTCACCCACTCATACACTTACTCACCCACTCGCTCACATACCCACTCATACACTCACCCACTCACTCACCCTCTCGCTCACCTACCCACTCATACACTCACCCACTCACTCACCCTCTCGCTCACCTACCCATTCATACACTCACTCACCCACTCATACACTCACTCACCCACTCATACACTCACTCACCCACTCGCTCACCTACCCACTCATACACTCACTCACCCACTCATACACTCACTCACCCACTCATACACTCACCTACCCACTCATACACTCACTCACCCACTCATACACTCACCTACCCACTCATACACTCACCCACTCGCTCACCCTCTCGCTCACCTACCCACTCATACACTCACCCACTCACTCACCCTCTCGCTCACCTACCCATTCATACACTCACTCACCCACTCATACACTCACCTACCCACTCATACACTCACTCACCCACTCATACACTCACTCACCCACTCATACACTCACCTACCCACTCATACACTCACTCACCCACTCATACACTCACCTACCCACTCATACACTCACCCTCTCGCTCACCCTCTCGCTCACCTACCCACTCATACACTCAGCCACTCACTCACCTACCATTCATACACTCACTCACCCACTCATACACTCAGTCACTCATACACTCACTCACCCTCTCGCTCACATACCCACTCATACACTCACCTTCTCGCTCACCTACCCACTCATACACTCACTCACCCACTCATACACTCAGCCACTCACTCACCTACCCACTCATACACTCACCCACTCACTCCCCCTCTCGCTCACCTACTCATTCATACACTCACTCACCTACTCATACATTCACCCACTCACTCATACACTCACCCACTCACTCACCTTCTCGCTCACCTAACCACTCATACACTCACTCATCACTCATACACTCACCCACTCACTCGCTCACCTACCCACTCATACACTCACTCACCCACTCATACACTCACTAACCCACTCATGCACTCATTCACCCACTCGCTCACCTACCCACTCATACACTCACTCACCCACTCATACACTCACTCACCCACTCATATACTCACCTACCCACTCATACACTCACCCACTCACTCACCCTCTCGCTCACCTACCCACTCATACACTCAGCCACTTACTCACCTACCATTCATACACTCACTCACCGACTCATACACTCAGTCACTCATACACTCACTCACCCTCTCGCTCACCTACCCACTCATACACTCACCCTCTCGCTCACCTACCCACTCATACACTCACTCACCCACTCATACACTCAGCCACTCACTCACCTACCCACTCATACACTCACCCACTCACTCACCCTCTCGCTCACCTACTCATTCATACACTCACTCACCCACTCATACACCCAGCCACTCGCTCACCTACCCACTCATACACTCACCCACTCACTCACCCTCTCGCTCACCTACCCACTCATACACTCACCCTCTCGCTCACCTACCCACTCATACACTCACTCACCTACTCATACACTCAGCCACTCACTCACCTACCCACCCATACACTCACCCACTCACTCACTCTCTCGCTCACCTACTCATTCATACACTCACTCACCCACTCATACACTCACCCACTTACTCATACATTCACCCACTCACTCACCTTCTCGCTCACCTACCCACTCATACACTCACTCATCACTCATACACTCACCCACTCACTCGCTCACCTACCCACTCATACACTCACTCACCCACTCATACACTCACCCACGCGCTCACCTACCCACTCTTACACTCACTCACCCACTCATACACTCACTCACCCACTCGCTCACCTACCCACTCATACACTCACTCACCCACTTATACACTCACCTACCCACTCATACACTCACCCACTCACTCACCCTCTCGCTCAACTACTCATTCATACACTCACTCACCCACTCATACACTCACCTACCCACTCATACACTCACCC